TTCTCCTCAGTTATTTTAAGACCCCGAGTGTTGGTCCAGCCGAGGCTTGAACCACGACCTCCCGCACAACAGACCGACGCTTTTACCAACTGAGCTAACCGGGTTGGCGGTTAGTTATTACAATAATATGAGTAAAAGGACAAGGTTAAAATCCTCTAAAATATCTAGTCTAATAATTAGTACGAATAAGAATCACCTTTATTTTGAAAAAACTAAATACAAGAGGAATATTTGCCGTTAGTAAGGACGTTATTTCTTCTGTAGACTATCTAACTGTTGCTTGTTATCTGCTATATTTGTAAGTTTGGCTTGAGAATAGAGAGATATTTATAATAATCTTAATCAAACATTATATATGTCAATCGATGTATCGATGTCAATCTTAATTTTAGGCTTCCTGCGGTCATGTCGGGCTTCCTGTGGTAATGTCGGGCTTCCTGTGATCGTGTCGGGCTTCCTGTGTGATTCAAAATGGCGTCGCAAAAGTTTCTTTAGCAAGACTTCCATAAAGAAAGACTTAAATGGGACGTAAATGGAACGTAAATAAGAGGTAAAAGGTATGTTTAAAGTGTTGACAATTACGTAACAGGTACGGTATCATATTGGGCATCATATGTATATTTTTGTAAATGATACTGTATTTCATGTTGTTGGGTTTCCTTGGTTATACTCAAAAACACAAAGAAACAAAAACAAATCAAAAAAACATAACTCAGGAGCACGTTTTTTGTCCAGGAAGAATTATTTCTAGGCTCATAGATTATATATATCTTGCTATATTAGATTTATAAACTTGCTCGCCCATTGCTTAGTGAATGCAAACACTAAAGCGTGCAACATAAATATCACTAAGGAAGCATTCACAAAAACTTGTTTGGGGGGGGGGGGAAACTGATGAGAAATTATCCTTTATGAAAAAAATCTGCTGAATCCCCCTTATAAAAATTCCATTATAAAAATTTGAGACACCCCCCTGTATCCCGGCAGGTCTAAAATGCAGACCGGTAAAATGCAGACTGATAAAATGCAGACTGATAAAATGCAGACTGATAAAATGCAGACTGATAAAATGCAGACTGATAAAATGCAGACAGATAAAATGCAGACCAGCTAAATTTGTTTAAAATCAAAATATATTGAATTTCTACAGGTCTGCTGCATTTTAGACCTGCCGCCCCCCTATCCCCCAAACCTGGCATTTTTTGACCTCAAATTCACTCTCCATCAAAATATTTAGTATATTTATAGTAGAGTGCTTCTAAACATTTCTTGACTCTTGCTCTTGGTAAGAAGTCATCATGATTTCTCGAGGTGATCCATCTTCAGTTGTAGTTGGCGTACTGAAAACATCTAAGTAATGACCTTCTCTTGCCTTATCCGGGAAAGGACATGGAATATGCTCCATTACAGGTGCTTGCAATTGTGTAATTTGGCAATATTCACATTTTGTAGCTGGATCACATGAATCTGGAATATATACTCCAAATACAATTCACCTAACTGAACGTGCATCTGCATAAAGACCTCAAGTTTCGGCATAATAGTGGTATCCAGGAACAGAAGGCTTGTTGTTAGCTGTTGTATGCCGGTACTCCTTTATGTAAGTTTGGTTGAAAAAAATGAGAATCTTCAAATGATGCAGTCAACAGCTGTGAATGAATAAACTCACCCAGAACAGGTGCACCATCAATTCTTTCAGCAATTTCCTCTGCCACTCCATGCATTCTTTTGCATTCTAATATCTTCGTTTCTAGTGTGCGCTTCTACTGAAAGGTTCTTAATTTCTTCATCTGTGAGGCCATCAAAAATTGGGTAATATTCCCAGATCAATGTTTCACCGTCAACATCCTCTATGGCACTGATTGTTCTCTCCGCCTCATTTTGGCCCAAGTCACCTCTTGATCTGTGCAATCTGATGTAATAGTCAAGATTTCACATACCACATATTTCCATAACTCTAATTTGTCAGTTAGATCTGACCATCTGGATTTTATCACAGGCAAAACATTTTAATATCAAAATATCAGAGCTCATAGGATGAGTTTTCATAATATTGTTGAAATATGATTGAACATGTTATTCCGGTATTTCAGGTACCCCCCTTCAGAGCTTTCTTTTTTTTCCCTTTGATATCTTCATTTTTTTGGGGGACCCCCATTTTCTCACCAGTCCCCCCCCTCCACAAGTGTTTGTGATTGCTCCCTAAATAGTGCTATTTTATGCTAATTCTATTGTTTTCTTTTGTTTACTTAGAGTGACCACACAGTAAATCCGTGAAACTTTAGTAATACTAAATAGCACAATTTCATGCAAATTCCATTGTTTTCTATTGTTTAACTAGCACTATTTTGTACTATTTAGTAGTGAGTGTTTAACGGATTTACTGTGGACACTCTAGGGCTATTTTCTACTAAATAGTGATAACTATTGCACACATTTAGTGTTTGTACTCTAGTAAGCTTATGAACTTATATACACTCAATTGAAGAATCGTTGCCGGGTTCAGAAACATAGAACATAGAAGCTGACATGCCCAAATAGCACATGGGAAATGACATAATTATATTACAATGTATTCATTTGCGCTATCCATGCAGTCGGTTTAGAATGCCAAACGTGTATTAAAAACAGAGGATGATGCCATGGTTCGCCGGTCACAGCATGCATCTAATTAACGTACTTCCCATGTGCCATTTCGGTCTCAGCTTCTATGTTCTATGTTTCTGAACCCGACAACGATTCTTCAATTGAGTGTATGTAATTTAGTTACATATGTATATATACACATATTATTCATTTTTTCTTATTTATGCATGATTTTTTCTTAATCATGTGAATAAAGAAAATTATTATTATCATTATTATATAGTTAGGCACTAATTATCTAAAACAAAAGCATTTAATAGACAAGGGTTCTCAGTAACAACAAAACAAAAATTTAAAAAACAATCTGTTTAGCCCAGTTTTAAGAAATTAATTGATTCTAGTGATTTGTTTTCAAAATCTACTGGAACCCTTCACTATTTTGAATTACTCTCGTATATCTAATACTATTATCTTTTATTATTTGTACACCAGAAAAGTGGAACACACTTGATACCTCATACAAGGTCCTAACCGGTCTCGATGGGATCGCCACCTTATCGTGGTGAGGCGGTTTGCGTGTCCCAGTGACCCCTAGAGCTATGCCGGCTGGAGTCATGTACTCCTGTTAGGGTCACCCATGCTGGACAGGTCAAAGGGTAGGGGCCAGACTAAGAGTGATCCCACAAGGCCCTATCAGTGCTAACCAAAGTTGCCCTACCAGGCTGGGAATCATCGTCAGACAGTGCAAAAAGTTACCGATTAACCTGACAGAGTCTAACCTTGTTGCCATTTATCAGTGGGCTGTTCTCTTTCTGAAGGTTGTGGGTAAGGATATTAGGTGATGGCTCTTTGCAGATTTTATGGGAGTGCGCTGATGACGTAAATGACAGTCACTGTGAAGGTTAGTGTGAGTAGGAGTATAAATGATCATACCTTACTATTCATGGGTGTGTACAGCAGTGATAAGTTAATGGTTTACCTACAGCAGCAAAACTATATCAACTACAGAAAAAACAAACCAGGAGTTCAGCATTTGGGATGGGGCATAGCCAGGAATTTCCTAAGGGGACCCAAATTCAAAAGTGCATTTTGTTCGAGCCCCTAAAACACCTAACTCAAAATAGAACAAGCTTAAAAAATAGCATGGTAAATGTAAATTATCATATAAATTCTAAAATGCCACAATATGGAAAAATGTCATTACCTAAAATTTACAGTTACCACAACCTGAAAATAAACCTTAAAATCATATTGTAAAATCAAAAATATCTTAAAGTGTTCTGCTTTAAACATTGTTTTATTTCATGATGACATCATTTTACCTTCAATGAACCTTACTCACGCGGCAACCATGTCCTCGTGGAACAATAGATTTGCCTCCACACATAGCCTCGAATTCACCCATTCACACATGTAATCCTTAATAAAATAAAATACAGGCCCAGTCCCTTAGCAGACTCTGAATATATTAATACTTAATTTAATACATTATAGACCCAGTCCCTCAGCAGACTCTGAATATATTAATACTTAATTGAATACATTATAGACCCAGTCCCTCAGCAAACTCTGAATACATAAATACTTATTTGATTAAATAAAACCCAGTTGCTCAGCAGCCTCGCATTCACCCATGTGATGAATAAATTAATACTTAATTGAATAAATAAAACCCAGTCCCTCTACATTATAGATTACATTGCTCAGATATATAAATCACTGTTGTGCAGTAAAACCTATGGGTTGGTGGGGTGTGGTTATTTTGTAATTCTCCTACTTGCAATAATCCTCACAGTACAAAGGCTGCCTTGTCACCAAGGTACTCTCATGGGTCTGTAGGGAGTTCAGAGTCTGATATACTTATCACCAGTGTTCACCATTAGAGGAGTCACCTGGTATGGTTTCATAAGATGGCTGTTGTCGGGACAGTAATTTACTGCTGTGGTCCTGGTCAGCAGGGGGTAGCAACAACCTGTGCTGGTGGGACCTCGAGGAGGCAGTGGTGCTGGTGAGACCTCGAGGAGGTATTGGTGCTGGCGAGACCTCGAAAAGGTATTGGTGCTGGCGATATTGTGTCATATTCTGCAATCCTACCAAATAATCCCGAGTCCATCACTTGCCCTGAAAACAATATACAAAAAATTCATAAGTACCCAATACAAGTACCCCTAACCCCAATTGAATATTATCCCCATCTCCCCCTATTGAGGTTTATCCCCACCTCACCCTATTGAGGTTTATCCCCACCTCACCCTATTAAGGTTCATCCCCGCCTCACCCTATTGAAGTTTATCCCCACCTCACCCTATTGAGGTTCATCCCCACCTCACCCTATTGAGATTTATCCTACCTCACCCTATTGAGGTTTATTTGCACCTCACCCTATTGAGGTTTATCCCCACCTCACCCTATTGAGGTTTATCCTACCTCACCCTATTAAGGTTTATCCCCACCTCACCCTATTGAGGTTTATCCTACCTCACCCTATTGAGGTTTATCCTACCTCACCCTATTGAGGTTTATCCCCACCTCACCCTATTGAGGTTTATCCCCACCTCACCCTATTGAGGTTTATCCCCACCTCACCCTATTGAGG